TTGGCTTGCCAAGCAGGAAAAAAACACGCTTGTTGAAGTGCTTGTTGAACTGCAGACACAGGAGACCCGTCGACAGAGCTTAAACCCTCTCCTCTTTCAATGAAGTCGCCGGTGTGTAAGCATTTTGGATTTCCAGTGAGTTATGTTGACAACGTTTGTGTTGTCGACAAAAAACACAGTTTTGCAAGCTCTGCTGTGTACGTATTACGTACGGTTCGTCCGATAGACAACACCGGCATCGCGATCCTCCTCCCGCCCCGTTGCAAATCCGCTCGCAAAAAGTACACACTCAGGCCCTGTTTACACTGTCTTTGTTTTTAAATGGGATTTTAGAACGACAACGACTTGACATGTAGCATTTCTAAGCAGCCCTCCTTCCTCTCTACCTCTGACACACACACACACACAGCCGCTCGAGACAGCGGGTTCAGGCAGTCAGAGGATCAGTAGACTGCTTCAATCTTTAACTCACATGTACTTAGTCATTTTAGCGAACACCTCAGATATTGTTGGCTGGTTCCTGTTGGTTGTGCGTCTTTTTTTACCGACGCCATTATAACGACACAGATCACTGCCTATTCACGAGTCCCGCAGAAAAAGTGATTGACAGGTGGTAATTATGTGTGTATCTTGCCTTTATTCATTTACTGTATGATTTGTTTATGGGTAAAACAAAGACCATGCAGGTCAGGTAGTTTAAACGGTAGGCTACAAATAATTAATTGGTCATTAATTAATTAATTATTCATAATCGAAAATCGAATCGTGCCTTTAGAATCGAAAATGTAATCGAATCGAGGATTTGGAGGATCGTGACACCCTTACTATATGGATTGCAATAACTTTAAAGCTCAATAACTCAAAATCATTCAGAACACAGAGAGAACCTTATAATTCCAAGGTGACGATATGTTTGAGAATTAACAATAATAATAGCCTACTCATATTAACCTTCATTTTACATCTACAGAATCGCGATCTCAATTTTAAGCAAAAAAAAAATCAGGATTCACATTTTAGCCAGAATCCTACAGCCCTACTGGTGATCCTCGGCCCATCTTTGCTCCGACAGGACTAGACCTTTCTTGGATGCTGCTTTTGTACCGAATCATAATTACCATCACCTGTTGACATCACCTAATTTAAAATCATTATTTACGCAATTTACCTGATTACTAGCCCTAAACTGCTCCATGTTGCAAGTCTGAATAACAGGAAAGGATCCGCAAATGAAATTTAATTGCGTTTTCCATACTGTCCTTACATTTCCAGATTTGGGGTTGTAAATGTGGAATTTTTATGAAAATAATTTTCATATGTGATTTTATCCAAAATTCAGATTTCAATTCAGGATATGTATGCAAATGACACATATGCCTTGCATATTTAAATACATAATGTCTAAGCTAGGCGACGCAGTAGGTAGTGCTGTCGCCTCACAGCAAGAAGGTCGCTGGTTCAAGCCTCGGCTGGCTCAGTTGGCGTTTCTGTGTGGAGTTTGCATGTTCTCCCTGCATTCGCGTGGGTTTCCTCCGGGTGCTCCGGTTTCCCCCACAGTCCAAAGACATGCGGTACAGGTGAATTGGGTAGGCTAAATTGTCCATAATGTAGGAGTGTGTGTGTGAATGTTTCCCAGAGATGGGTTGTGGCTGGAAGGGCATCCGCTGTGTAAAAATGTGCTGGATAAGTTGGCGGTTCATTCCGCAGTGGCGACCCCAGATTAATAAAGGGACTAAGCTGACAAGAAAATAAATGAATAAATATCTAAGCTAAATGCATTTAAACAACATTTTAGAAATCTTTAGTGTCATCAATAAACTGGAGAAGCATTTCTGTACCTTGTTCACCTGCAGTTTCTTGCTTCAGCATCTGTTTTTTCGCTCTCTAAGAGTTTGTTTTCATGTTTTCCAGGTTCAGTAAGGTCTGAGCTGGGCCGCGACATCACTGAATGGCACGCTCGTGTTCTCTTGACCGTCGTTTCCAAGTTCTTTGCTACAGATCCAGTGTCCGGCGCTCAGACCACGCTGTACTGTAGCCTTCAGGATGGCATTGAACACCTCAGCGGACGATACTTCTCCGACTGCCAGCTGGTGCAGGTCAAAGCTGAGGCCAGAGACGATGGAGTCGCCAAAAAACTGTGGGAAGTCAGCGAGAAGTTATGTGGCATGGCTTGAATGAATCATACACGCATTACACACTTTATAACACTAGTACTGTATCCATTGGATTAGGGTTTAAAATATATTACGAGCACTTCAAATAAAGATGCAGGTATTGTATTATGAGCACACAAATAACCAAGAAAAGTCATATTTACAAGAGGAAAACTTCTGTTGCTGAAGTTTAGATGCTAGAAAAAACATTTTTAGCCATTGTTGTGCATTTTCCATGCAACTGTTAAAATCTTTCATGTTGATTTGTAAGGGTACTCATTTAATGTTTCAAGTTATTTTGGATTATTTGTGTATGCTTGTAAGTTCCTATGCAGCATTTAGTGGCTAAATGTGTTGCTGTATCTTTTGTTTTTTATTTATTTAGCAGATGTTTTTATCTAAAGTGACTTACAAATGAGGAAAAATTAAAGAACTTTGTGTCACCAGAAAAGCAACAATATACAGCTACAAGTCTCTGGTTTAGCATTGTATGTGTTTTTATTGTTTTATTTCAATTCATTAAACATGTCAAGTATGGTTGAACTGCTCAAAGTATTCCAACCCAGGCTTATTCTGAAAATGTAGCCTTGTATACATTTCTAGAGAGCGCCAAATACATCCCAGAAGGTACCTTTTTTGCCGTTATTGTTTTCGTGAATCCATCAGAGGCCGCTGTGTAGGCTTTTTAAGATCTCAAATTTCTCTTGCAAGTGCCATTCTCGCCTGTTGTTTTTGCGTAAATCCACCAGAGGCCGCTGTCGACTATCTGACCCACTCTCCTCTTTCCCTAAACCCAGGTGCACTGCTAGGGGGGAAATTTAGGATAATCCTAAAGGCTGATTTATACTTCTGCTATATGCGAATGCTCCGGCGCAGCCACAGTCTCGCAACTCGACGCATAGCACAAGCATCTGTGATTAGATGGTAGCGCTGACGAGAGTGGGTGCTGTTGGAGCGAGTTTTTACAAGTGTCGAGTCCCATTAAGGGGCTCCAGATGGAAAGTTTTGTTTTGTGTTTACCTCATGATTAAAGTTGTTGCACATACGACTGTTCCTGCCTCAAAATGAGCGAGTTTGAGCTACTTCTACATAAAGGTAGCGTTCAGAAAAAACAAAAAACTCTTGAAGAAACTCGACACAGAGGAACATAAAAACATCACTGCCAGCTAGTGTTTGGAAGCATTGTTGCAGAGCAACACAAACTTAAATGCACGACAACGCTGTGTGTCACGCCGATCAATCGATACAGAAATCGACCAGGCTTTACGGCCCATTCACACGGGGCTTTAGCATCAACGCTTCCCATTCATTTTGAATGGGTGATGTCAAGTGTTGCCGAACTGCATTGTGGATCTGCCGGTGCCACTTCAGAGGCGTTGCTCGCGGCAGAAGTTGGGACTTGCTCAACTTTTCAAACGGCGACCAAAGCGTCAGCCAATCAGATCGATGTATGCAAATACACCAGCTCAGACATTAGCCTATTGCGAACTAATTTCATTGGCTGACGATGCTATGACGATCGCTTCAGCCCCAACTTCAGACACGCCCTTTGCCAAGCATTGACGCTGAAGCCCCGTGTGAATGGGGGCGTTAGGGTCCGAGCTTTTTTGTGGCCCCCAGAGATAACACATCCCATCCCTGCCCCACATGTTCTTTACCTTTGTCCACAACACCACCCCCTTCCCCCTTTTCACTTTTGTCTGCGATATCACACACTGCTACATTACCCCTTTACTTTCGTCCGCGACACCGAACCAAGATACCGCACTCCTCCTCCCCCGATATTCATTTACGTCTGTAAGACCATTTTTCACCCCCTGCTATTCACTTTCACGTTGTGACACCCACGAAATGCTGTCATAGGCCCCATACTGGCCAGCGGTGCTCTGCCTAAACCCAACCAATAGTGTTTTCAAAAGCACCGATTAAATCGCCCAACCACTTCTCTAAACACAACCAACAGTTTTAAAATGCAATACAGAAAAAACATAAGTTCTCGCCTGACTTTTACCACATTTTCAGATTTTACCACATTCTCACACTGTTATTTACTTGTTTATTTTATTTTTTAGCTTTAGTTTTTGTCTTACCTGCTTTCTGAAACCGTTCCTCCCCGGACTCGAACTCCGTCGTCATGATCAACTCCTCTATGCGTCTCAAGTCTGTCCAACGTACTTGGCGAGTTACTGGACAAACTGGTAACAGCAGGAAAACTGTCCACATGGAGGTCAGCGGTCAGCTGGTAAGCGCGAAAAGAAACAGCGTCATACCACCCTGCAGAGTTTGTTTTAAAGACGAAATGCAGCCATACATACCTCTGGCACCCTGAAGAATCCACGCCAACACGGGAAGAATATACAAACTCCACACAGACATGCCAATTGGCCTGTTGGGACTCGAACCAGCGACCTTTTAGCTGTGAGGACACAGTGCACTGAGCCACCGTGTCGCCTCTTAATAATGATATAAATATGAATTTGAAGTGTACCTCACATACTGCTCAGATTAAAAATTAATCATCACTTATAAATGATTATGTGCAAAATTAATCGTAGTTATTAATAATCTCGTGTTTGCAACTGGACAAATGTGCAGTTGAAAACAAAAATGATTACAATATTAAATGCACTATGCAAATACATATTGAAAAATAAATAAAACATTCGTCATAGAAGTTCTTTTTTGAAGACACTTTTTATGATTGTAGTGAGACACAAAAGCACAGTATTTTCATAATTAATCTGTAACAGAAATACCAAAATCGATAATAAACGAACAGTAAATCAACCGGTTTTGTGTTACATAAATAATTACAATGAATTTCCAAAAATAAAATCGTTAAACACGCGCATTGAGCAGTTGTTTTATTTTAGTTGTTTAGCTGAACAGTGTGATGCTTATTCATTTTCCGTTCCACCCAAGACCTGCTGCAGATGGTCATTGACAGTCTTTAGCTGATGCTCTGCTCCCATGATGCACCTGGCTTCCATCAACATGGCAGGCATACAGGATGGGCCAAACTGTCAGACGAAAGGAGAAAATCATAAAAGAAAGAAACAGAGAAATACTTTTGAAGTATGTTGGAGATGGGTTGGAACTAAACTGGCCCTTCAGGAACTGAGTTTGACACCTCTAGGAAATTCCTAACAATTTAGACTCATTCACCTGAGCGACTTATTTATTTTCCGGTGAACTATCAGTCTGTTGGCATGAGAAAGACTTTGCTTCTACAATAAATTCATGAACAGAATCCATCAGGAATGAGGGTTCAACACTAAAAGACACCATCTGCAGACTTCCTCACCGTTTCCAGCTCATCCGGATGAGTGGAGCGGTGCTTCAGGTATTTCCTGTTGAGCTCCTTTAAATTGGAGAGCAAAGAGGATCCTTCAGTCAGAGCTTTGAACCTCTGCTCCATCTCATCCAGATCCTTCTGAAGCTTCTGGAGCTGCGTTTTCCCCCTGAAAACACAAACCCATTTCAAATGCACTATAAATTAAACACCATGAACATTTTTGCAGCTCTAGAGTATTAAAGAACAAGATAGTTTCCATTGTATGTTGGCTGTAGAATGAACAATGAGTCATCATAAAGGAGTCAACTGTAACAACCCATCATGTTTACGTGCGTGTATTTACTTAATGAGTTCATTATTGGCTTCCACAAGTCTGGTCCTCTTCTGATTTATAGCTCTATTGATCTGAAATAGAAAAAAAAATAAATATAGGGGAAAAAATTCAACCTAAGAAATTTGTGCAAAAATCTATCGCAAACCCAAAATTAAAGTATAATGGTGCATTTGAACACAACAGATTTATTAAACAGATATATTTATTAAAATAATATTTTAGTCAGAACATCTTTAGAAGAAGCAAGATAATACATTTAAATTCATCCAGAATATTGCAAAAACAATGACAAACTACAACATTTCAACAAAATTGTATATATTTTTTGATTCTCTTGATTTTTAAACTTATTTTTGAAAATTGTATTTAATATTTTTCTCTCACATAAATTTGGGCTACTCATTTTTGAACCATTATTGTAAGTCATTTAATAATAATAATAATAATAATAATAATAATAATAATAATTCCTTACATTTATATAGCGCTTTTCTGGGAACTCAAAGCGCTTTACACAATGGGGGGAATCTCCTCATCCACCACCAGTGTGCAGCATTCACCTGGATGACGCGACGGCAACCATTTTGCGCCAGACCGCACACCACAGACCAGCTGATTGGTAGAGAGGAGATGTGATGAAGAGGACAGTGATGAAGCCAATTGGGATATGGGGATGGACAGAGGCCAGTGGGCAGATTTGGCCAGAACACCAGGGTTAAACCCCTACTCTTTTTCGAAGGACATCCTGGGATTTTTAACGACTACAGAGAGTCAGGACCTCGGTTTTAACGTCTCATCCGAAAGACGACGCTCACTGAGCAGTATAGAGTCCCCATCACTATACTGGGGTATTAGGACCCACACAGACCGCAGGTTGGGCGCCCCCTGCTGGCCTCACTAACACCACTTTCAGCAGCAACCCAGCTTTCCCATGTGGTCTTCCATCCAGGTAGTGACCAGGTGCAGCCCTGCTTTGCTTCAGTGGGCGACCTTGTAAGAGTTGCAGGGAGCTGCAAATTTACATTTATTTAGATTAGCTCCAGATTCTGCTTCAGTACTGATAAACTAATGTATATGCACAAATATAGTATTGTACGGCTTCCTATACAGAATATTAATTTAAATGATAGATTTGTAAGGGGTGTACTCATAAAAGCTAAACACTGCATGTGTGTAGGGCTGGACCGATAAGCGATATTACATACGAATCACAATAAAATTTATGTCCATAATGAAAATATAAGCTCTTGATGTTTTTACACTTCTTTGATCTACGAGCCAATCACAGAGCAGGAACGTGCAACAACAACAATCTAGAAATGTGCTTAAATTAGAAATGCACCAAATTTTCAGCTGCCGAAAATTATCGGCTGAAAATAGCTCATGCTATTTAATGGACCCCCTCATTTTTGTGACTATTTTATTGTTATTGTTATTGTTGGGGTACTCTTTTAAATTTGAGAGCTTTAAGAACTGATATTAAAGAAAATATAATTATCGTTTACTATGGAAAAGAATTATCGAAATAGCATTTTGCCATAACGTCACGCACAACCATCTCTAGAGTTTACAGAGAATGGTCCGAAAAAGAGGAAATATCCAGTGAGCGGCAGTTCTGTGGGAGCACATGCCTTGTTGGTCAGAGGATAATGGCCAGACTGGTTCCAGCTGATAGAAAGGCAACAGGCACTCAAATAAGCACTTGTTACAACTGAGGTCTGCAGAAGAGCATCTCTGAACATACAACACGTCCAACCTTGAGACAGATGGGCTACAGCAGCAGAAGACCACAACGGATGCCCCTCCTGTCGGCTAAGAACAGGAAACTGAGGCTACAATTTACACAGGCTCACCAAAATTGGACAATAGAAGAATGGAGAAACGTTGCCTGGTCTGATGAGTCCCCATTTTTGCTGCGACATTATGGTAGAGTCAAAATTTGGTGTGAACAACATGAAAGCGTGGATCCATCAACAGTTCAGGCTGGTGGTGGTGTAATGGTGTGGGAAATATTTTCATGGCACACTTTGGGCCCATTAATAACCGCTTGAGCATCGTGTCAACGCCTCAGCCTACCTGAGTATTGTTGCTTGTACCATGTCCATCCATTTATGTGTACTTCTGATGGCTACATCCAGCAAGATAACAAGCCAACATGGTACTAGTAAGGTGTACCAAATAAAGTGGCCAGTGAGTGTGTACACACAATGTATATTATGTCAAAACAAACTTCTATTTTGGAATGGATTAATCACGATTAATCTTTGCCCAGCACAAAAAATAAATAAATAAATACAAATAATGGTCAAAAATTTGGAACAAACAATTTTGGCTTTGGAAGTAGCATTTGCTTACAAAGGCTACATTTATCTAATCAAATACTTTTATTGTTAACATTATCTAAAAAAAATTCTAATTGAAGGCATTTTAAAATAGATGCATTATTGTAAAATGTATGTAATTTACAATAAAAAGGTATTTAATGTTCTGTGATATTTAAGAAATCATTAAAATATGCTTTTTTTATACTTTTAATTTAATAATATTTCTGATTTTTACATTTAAAAAAAAATCATAATTATTTCACAATTAATGAGTCGAGTGTCACCTTGTTATTTTCTCTTTGCACATTCTTGAGCTCCTTTGTCGCCGTGATCTATGGACAAATGAGATTTATTATGTACAGTTGAAGTCAAAATGACTCACCCTACTGTGATTTTCTTTTGTTTAATATTTCCCAAATGATGTTTAACAGAGCAAGGAAATGTTCACAGTATGTCTGATAATATTTTTTCTTCTGGAGAAAGTCTTATTTGTTTTATTTCGGCTACAATAAAAGCAGTTTTTAATTTTTTAAGAACCATTTTAGGATCAATATTATTAGCCCCTTTCAGCTATATATTTTTTTTCATTGTGTACAGAACAAACCATCATTATACAATAACTTGCCCAATTACCCTAACCTGCCTAGTTAACCTAATTATGCCTTTAAATGTCATTTTAAGCTGAATAGAAGTGTCTTGAAAAATATCTAGTGAAATATTATTTACTGTCATCATGGCAAAAATAAAATAAATCAATTATTAGAGATGAGTTATTAAAACTATTATGATTAGAAATGTGCTGAAGAAAATCTCTCCTTTAAACAGAAGTTGGGAAAAAATAAACAGGGAGACTAATAATTCAGGGGGTATAATTCTGACTTCAACTGTATATTTTTGAGCAACATTTGCATTTAATTCAGTAAAAAGCAATAAAATCTACTATTTCAGCGAGCTGCTCCTCAAACGAGCGACTGAAAGCCTCAACGGAGCGTCTGACTGGATCAGAGTTTAATGTCTGCCTGCAGGAATCAGAGAAACATACAGCTGAGCATTTGACTTCTGTTGATGATTAAACACTGGAGTTGATTTGCTCCTTCACACTTACTTGTACTCAGTGACAAACTCCTGGAAAGCGTCGCGCACCACGTCTAGATCAGTGGGATTTCTCAAATCTCTGGGTTTTTTAGAAGGACCAGCTCTGTCTAGAGAAGGAAGATTTACATTTATGCATTTGGTCAACTTTTTCAAAATTGTACAAAGATATAAGCGTGTTTGTTAGATGAAGCAGTTCATTTTTTTAGGGGTCTCTACTAACATATAACACCAAACGAAAACACTTTATTTATTACAATATATACAGCTGAAGACAAATATTAACAGCCCTCCTGTGAAATGTTATTTATTTTTCAAATAGGAAAATTTTCACATTATTTCCTACTATAATAATTTTCTTTTTTGCTTGGCTGGAATAAAAAATGTTTTATTTATTTTTATTGAATTATAATGTTTTTTTAAATTTAATTTATTTTAATTTATTTTTTAATTGACAAGGTCAATATTTTTAGGCCCCTTAAGAATTATATATATGAGCAGTGAGATAGCGCAGTGGGTAGCACTGTCGCTTCACAAGAAGAAGGTTGCTGGTTCGAGCTCGGCAGGTCAGTTGGCATTTCTGTGTGGCGTTTACATGTTATCACTGTGTTGGCGTGGGCTTCCTCCAGGAGATCTGGTGTCCCCCACAGTCCAAACACATGCTCTATAGGGGAATTGAATAAGCTAAATTGTCAGTAGTGCATGTGTGTGAATGAACTAAATGGTAGTTTCATAGTGATGAGTTGCAGCTGGAAGAGCATCTGCTGCGTTAAACATATGCTGGATAAGTTGGCGGTTCATTCCGCTGTGGCGACCCCAGATAAATAAAGGGACTAAGCTGAAGGAAAATGAATGAATATATATATATAGCTTAAAGGGGCTAATAATTTTATATAGCTTAAATTATTATATAGCTTACAATTATATAGCTAATTATTATATAGCTTAAAGGGGCTAATATTTTTATCCTTAAAATGGTTTTTAAAAAATTAAAAACTGCTTTTATTCTAGCCAAAATAAAACAAATCAGACTTTCTCCAGAAGAAAAAATATTATCAGACATGCTGTGAAAATTTCCTTGCTCTGTTAAACATCATTTGGGAAATATTTAAAACACACACGCACGCACGCGCACGCACGCACACACACACACAACGTCAAGTTAACCCTTTGAATTTATTAGTTATTAAAACAATTATGTTTAAAAATATGTTAAATAAAACTATTTTTTGTTAACGGCACATACAGAAAATGAACGTAACAATTCTTTAAATTAACAGTATATGCAGAAAATAAATGCAATTCTTTTATTAACGGCATATAGAAAAATTCATGCAAACAATTCTTTTATTAAGGACATATGCAGAAAATGAATGCGCTCAACTTTTAATAACAGCATATACAGAAAATAAGAAACAATAATAAAAGACGATTTGCTTATTACCTGATGAAGATGAAGATTTTCTTTTCTGTTTGTGGCCGCTCAGTCGTAGACTGGAAGATCGTCTTTTTGCCCCTTTAGAGTTTGCTTTGGCTGGACGCTGAACAAAACAAATAACCTGTGAGGAAGTGCTATACATTGACTATCTATATACTATATGTATTGATATTGAACATTTTCACTAGGAGTTTTTCAGTTTGGTTTGCATGCGAGTTGAACTAATAAGTGTTGTTTTAACCCCAATTAGATTTAGATGCTAATGTAAAAACTGACATACACACAATTAGCAAATAGCAGGATAATATAACAATTGGGCTATTATTAACTGTAGCCTTATTATTGCAGCATGCAAGTAATAGGGGTTCCTCACAGTTTGCAGCACTAGCTGAGATAAAGGAGTCACACTTTCATTGAATGTACAATTCACGTTATTCACCAAGTAATAACTACGAATTTTAGCTTAATAAACTACTAATTAGCTGCTTATTAATAGATAATAAGCTAGTAGTTCTGTTTAGGTATTAGAGAGTGCTAATATACAGTTAATATCTTAATAATAGGCAGGTAATGAGCCAGTAGTAAATGGTGTTAATTAAGCTAAAGTGTTACAGAAAATTGTAATCATAACTGAATTTATATAAAGCTACAATGTTCAATTAACCACAAAAAAATAAATAAATAGAGGCAAATTAAGATGAGGGTTTTTTTTAAATATAAAATTTCAGCTTTTGCCATTAATAAGACGATTCAGGCAACCTCAAGTAAAGAAAAATGTACATCAAATGTCCTTTGTGCCGGCTGCTATTAGAGTTTTAAATATTTAAAGTATGAAAAGGGTTCATTTGAGTTTTTAGTTTGATTTATGTGATGATATTGAATGTATTTGTGTTGCCTTTTTTCTGTGATATGTGTGATGTGAACGCTGATGTGGTTGTGTGGTGAAGCCAAAGACTAATTTCCACTTGTAGACAATAAAGAAAGTAAAGTCTTACATTTTTTTCTATACCAAAAGTCAAGCAAAACCAAATCACTTTAGAACAGAGGAACTGAATGAACCATAGGGCTCTATTTTGACGGTCCATGCACAGAGCTAAAACGCAGGACGCAACCGCTTTCAGGGCGTGTCAGAACGCATTTTTGCTAATTTAAGGACGGGAAATCTGCCTTGCGCCGTGGCGCATGGTCTAAAAGGGTTGAGTTTATTTTCTTAATGAGTTATAGGTGTGTTTTGAGAATAAACCAATCAGAGTCTCATCTCCCATTCCCTTTAAGAGCCAGCTGCGTCGCGCCAAGAGCGCATTCGCTATTTACAGGACGCAAAGTAAGTCTAAGTGGAAAATCTGAGCATTTCACAAGCAAACAGTTACCATTTTTTTTAACAGAAAACTGTTAAACAGAGCATCTACTGCTCAAGAATGAGAGATAATGGATCTACTTTCACTCTTGCTCTTGGATAGGGAAACCTTTACGCACAGACATCAATTAGTCTATAAATAATTAATTGCATTTGTTAAGAGCAAATAATCGTTTCAAAACTATTTCTAAATTCAGTTCTAATTTCCAGCAAACGAATAAATGAACAATAATAACAAAGTGTGCTCAAAAACCCTGAGTTATATCCTAAAACACATGCTGTGCCCCATATGGTCTAAAACCTGACAGGTGGACAAATCTAAGCTTGTTTTTAATAAAATAAATATAAATATAATAAATAATACTGCTAATAATAATAACATTATACAAAAGCAAACTGTTATGAATGAACTAAAAAAAGTCTCCCGAGATGAAGAAGACATAAAAGCAGTGATTTTTCATATTTATGTAGGCTAGAAAATAATATGTTTTGTAATATTTTAATCCTTTATATTTATATCCTATATCTATTCTTATTATATCCTATATATATATCCTTAATATTTAAATTTTTTCATATGTAAAGATATTTGCCTGTTGCTCTCTTGTGCGAATTAAGCAGTGTGTAAGCGAGGCGCAACTCTGCGCCGGAGTTTAGACCGGGTTAGTTTTGGTCTAATGAAAAATCTATTTTAGTTTCTCAAAATAGCGACGCGCCAGCGGACCAGAACGCCTATGGACGCACATATGAGCGCTAATGCATTTGCTATTTAAACAGCGTAGCGCAACGCCTCAAAACGACTCTTGTGCCAAGCTGAAACTAGCAAACAAGTATTGTGCTGCGCCTTGCGCCACATTGCGCCGGGTGTATGATAGGGCCCATAATATTTCAGGTTTCACAAAGTTAAATGTAAGACTTTTTAAGACCATTATGAATGAAATTTAGACTTGTATAGGACTAAACGTTAAGGATTGGTCGGTTGGTCCATCGAAAAAAGTAAACAAATGTTATTGTAAAGAAGATAATCAAGCTATATTGGTAAATAGAGTTATAAATAGAGTTTGTTTAAAGTTTTCTTGAGATGGATTATTGGTGATTGGATAGGTGTCGGCCTGATTGGATAGCTTTAGATGGACTTTGGAAAATTTCAACATGTTTAAAATGATTTAAGATCTACAAGACAATATTTCAGTGAATTTAAGACTTTTTAAGACCAATATGAATTAAATAACAGACTTATACAGGGCTAAACAACAAGCACTTTGTCTAACGGCCCGGTTAGTCCATCTGCATAGCTTTTTACTTGACTAATAAAAAAAATAAATAAATAAATAAAGTAAACAAATGTTACTGTAAGGAAGATAATCAAGCTATATTAGTAAATAGAGTTATAAATAGAGTTTGTTTAAAGTTTTCTTGAGATGGATTGTTGGTGATTAGATAGGTGTCGGCCTGATTGGATAGCTTTAGATGGACATTGGAAAATTTAGACCTGTTTAAAATGATTTAAGACCTACAAGACAATATTTCAGTGAATTTAAGAGTTTTTTAAGCCTAAAATTTTGTTTTTAAAATGTAAGCCAATTTAAGACCCTGCAGACAGCCCATATTTGCGTACTGTTAACGTTAACCCCTTTACTTATAACTATTAAATGCAAATATACGTATGTATGAGACATACAAAGCTTTCATCCTCATCTGTCAGGTCCTCTGAGGACAACGAAGGCCTCCGCTGATTCTGAGACGCTCTTGGGGTCGGAGAGGTTTCTTTTGGTGACCTTTGAACTTTTCCTGCTTTCTATAAAATAGAAACATGCATTGCAAACAAATTCCTTTTTTGTTTCTAACATACACACTTGAAAAAAATGTTTGATTAAAATACGCATTTAAAATGAGCTGAAACAAACACAAATTCTTGAGTTTTTTTGGAAGACAACTTCATCGTTTTATGTTCAATCCACCTAAACTTGTAAAAACGAATAAGTTGACTTAATTCCTTTATATTGTCCAAACACAAATTGATCATGTGGAACCCAGCACTTTTCACAATGCAAATTTACCAGCAAAGGGTAATTCTGCAAAAAAGAAAATCAATAAAATAAATTTTTTTAATTCCAGACCAAAAGAAAAAAAGGGAAAATGTTAATAAAGACATTAACAAAAAAGGTGTTTATCAATCAACATAAGACACTTCAATATAAAAATTTGACTTTTTTCCATTCAGAACAAAAATTGTATTAGTAAAAGTACCAATTTTCTGTGCCGGTACATTAAGATTACACTTCACGGGACCTTTAAAGACAGTTGTTTACATGTAAAAAATGCACGTTTTATTACTTTTAAATGAACGGTAACGAGACCAGGGGTCCGTTCTTCGTACCTTGCTTAAATGATCTAAGGTGATTTGACAGATCCTGGATCTTTTAATCTTGATAACTGATCTCTCGCTAATTTGATTCTTCAAACAAGTTCGCGAATCAGATCAGAATGTCTGGATGAACTGATCTGAGATCGCTGCGTGTGTTGTGAAGGACAGATCTATCGATCCTCGAAATCATGATCAGCAATGCAACGATTGGCTGACGGCACAGCAGCGTAATGACATCATCTGATTAATATTCAATTATCCATGTGAGCAAAATTACATCAAATTAGCAGAAACGGTTTGTTAAATATGACACGCAATAACCTTCCACATTTGTTGTGAGCTGCAGGCTTTACACTTTCACGTGTCAAGAGTATTCATCATGTATTTCAGTGCATATCAGTGTATTTAGTTCTACATTTAGAAAATATTGTCTATATTATAGTAGCTGTTTTTTAATCGGTGTAAAGAATAACTGGATGTTTACAAAAGCAACTTTTGTGAAGCTTCAAATCACCGTCATATTAACTATCAAAACATGTTTATGACTGCATAAATATATTATTGCTTTAAAAAAGTCACATATTCTGCATTTCTATTATACACAATTTGTACTAAAGCGATCTAAAAAGTTCATATCAATAAGTTTTCTCTTCGCACCACCAGGTGGCAGTCTTTGTACTTTCATTTCGATGGTGCAGATTGCATAAGTTTTATTAATATGTATAACTTTATTTATTTTATTAATGACTATAACTTTATATATATATAGTTAAAAAAATATGTACCATTTTCTCAAGTGTATATAACTACTACTGTAAGAAAATATCAGAATTCGGAACATACTTTCTGTATTATCTTTGCTTGAACTGAGCCGATCTAATCCTGTTTATATGAATTGAACCTGCTCCCGATCAGGTTTGACCTAGCAGAACTGTTGCTATGACAACAACTCTCGGATCAGCTTTGAAGAACGAAACAATCCTGGATCGTGTCAAATCGTCAATATCCAAATCCAGCTAATTGAGTAATCCACGTACGAAGAACGGACCCCAGCACAAAACAAAGCCTCACCTTTGATGCTGCACTCACGTTAGCTGATGTTCTTCTCTTTTCTGCACCTTCTGATATGGTTGCCAAAGTTTTGCTTTTACCTTTTCTGTAAGAACACAGAAATCCCTCGTGTTATTGTGGAGATTATGATGGCGATGACAAACCAAAACACCTTTTGTTTTCACAAAATCCCACTTTACCCAACAGATTTAGCTGTTTGATTTTCTGGCTCCTGGTTCTCCTTTGACGCTTTAGAAGCCATTTTTGCACTTTTCTTAGTCCGCGGTTGACCTGTCTTTTGTGGAACGGACCTTTGGTTGTGTTCTGGTCCAGGACTGGGGTCTTCCTCCAGAGCTGTGCTGTGAAGAGGGTTCCCTGAAAAACAAAACAAGAATCTCTGATTTTAATGATTCTCAAAACATTAAAAGGCATTGGTAGTTTATAGCTTTCCCCCCCCTAAAGTGTACATCGTCAGACTTACAGGTTGCCAGTTCAGTACAGAATCAAGGTTAAAACTTTACCCCAATCACCACACTTCATAGAGGTTACCATACCATGAGGAGAATACTGCTCTCCTTGAAAGAAACTGGCTTTCTCTATGGATGAAATGTCCAGCGGCTGAGGAGACTCCACAGTGCCCACACTGTTCTGTTTTGCACTCTAAGAAAGGGCAGAAATTAATATCAAATTCATTAAATTTGTTTTAAAAGTACATATCACGTCCTGTGGTGGAAAGAGTACTGAAAAATCATACTCAAGTTAAAGCACCATTACTTGCCTAAAAATGTAGTGCAAGTAGAGTAAAAGTATCTGTTGTAAATATTAGTATGAGTAAAAAGACCATTCTAAAGTACTCAGGAGTAGTATTACGCTGTGAAAAGCTGATGTGTTTACATGTAATCTGTGGATGTGTGTAAACGTAACATTCTGTAGTGCATTTAGTTATTTCCCAGAAGGCACACATCGTCAGACGTTAATATTTGATTACATTTAGGTTGTGATGTCAGGTGACCAAAATTCAATGTCTAGCCAGCGTCTAAGGAGAACGTTATTTTGATGTCCAATAATGACGTTGATATTTGGTTGATTTTAGGTTGTTAGAAAGTGACCAAAACCCAACGTCAAGCCAACATCTTAAACCAACGTCATATTGAAGTCGAATACTGACATTTATTCATCAGGTATGGCAACCAAAATCCAACATCTGATAGACGTCATAGTGGAAATGTCCGCACAACGTCAACTGTAACATCATTAGACGTTGATATTTGGTTGGTTTTAGGTTGGACGTTAGACATTGGACATTGATGTTGACCTGACGTTGAGTTCTGACGTCAACCTGATTTTCATTTACAAACAAAATGCAACGTCCCCATGACACTGTGGTTCAATGTCAATCTGACGTCATGTTGACATCCTGTGTCTGCTGGGTGTTTAAGGCCATTTCGTTTATCATACAGTAAACATCTGTCATCTTCTCATCAGTGACATGCAGCTAAACAGTCTCAGGATCAAAGCATTTATAGATTTTTAACATCTTGGACACTTTTAATGCTTCCAAACAGTTTGCAGCAATTATAAATCATCCATGTCTTGAGGTAGTTCATTATGATGTGATTTATCTTATGTTTGATTGGACAGAAATCACAGGACTGATTTTTCCAATCCCCATAGACAGGAAAAAATAAAGTAGTGACTGCAGGCTGAAGCAAAGTAGTGGAGTAAAAGCACAGATACTGCACTAAAAATGTGAAAGTAAAACACATTTTTAAAACTACTTAGTAAATTACAATTCCTGAGAAAAGCTACTTAATTTCAGTAATTTGAGTATTTGAAATTTGTTACTTTACACCACTGATCACGACATGTACATCATGTATATATAAATAAAATACACATTATGAATGTGTGCCATATTTGTATATTACTTATAGTGCAACCACACATATGACAAACGAATACTTCATTATACGTATACTGCTGAAATTGTAAACAATAACCTGAGGAAAATATTTTATGATAATTTTTCATTTAATTTATAAGTCAGAAACAGAATTTAAAAACTATCACACATTTATTTACATATATGACGATCACAGATTAATAACTATCAAATTTACTACGCAAGTGTGTGTGTATACAGTATATATATCTTACTTACATTTAATTTTCCGAGTAAACTTGAATTTAACAGAAAGTTATAAGAATAAGAATAACATAAATCTAAAACAGAAAATGTAAATAATTAATGTTTAATTCGTTAAAAGTAAACGACCATTTTAAAAGCTTTCTATTCTAAAAAAAAAGACATCTGAAGGATATTTTATTTCATAAAACGAAGGTTTTAGATCTAAAATATATTGGTTTAAAGTGTAATTATTGTTCGGGAACGAAATAAAAATAGTGAACTCAAAACATTCAGAGAAAATACTAAAGAGCCGATACAAAACAAATCAACAACCTGCAACTCCCGCTGCACAGCTTTCAGAGTTTTCGCCATCCTACTCATATTCGCGTTCAATTATTTATAACATAGCATGCAATAATAAGCAGAAACAAGAAAAGATGACAACCATCTGTCTCAAATCTGACTGACAGAATGTTTTTACCGCGAATGTTTGAGGGGATGGACTGTACCAACTTACAAATGGGTGCGACTTAGCAACATCGGGTGTACAACATTAGGTGTAGTGTGTTTATATGCTTTTAGAAGGGAGGTGTTACTATTTGTTTGAATATATAATAAATTAAATTGTAGACTCCCAAAAATATTTAACTTCTCCTAAATATTTTCCAGAAGATTAAAATACACGTTTAGATGAAGCCCCTCCGTTCGCAAAACCAACCAGTTTCTTTGAAAATCGCTCTAGGAGAGGCAACTTGTTGCTTTCCTTCTCGATTGCCCTCTGCTGTTCAGGCGCCTTCAGTGACGCCCAATGACGCCATTGTCTAAAACGTCATGATTTTTCCAGATTCACTTGATAAGGAATAGTATTTAGGAGGCCATTCACGATATTAGATTTAGCTGAATTTGTTTCGTGGTATAAATTGTTTTTGCAACACCCGTTTCCATTTTAACAGATAGAAGTGTTTTGTAAAAATGCAGCAGTAGCCTATTCTGTCCATATTCAATTTGTAATAAATCATTTATAAAAAAATATTAATCTTCAAAAAAGGTGTACTTATATATCATCGAAAAACTATTGCATGTTTGATGTAGATAGATAGATAGATAGATAGATAGATAGATAGATAGATAGATAGATAGATAGATAGATAGATAGATAGATAGATAGATAGATAGATAGATTTTGCATAGAATTATTCTGCATTGCAGTATCTAATAAAATGTATCATAAATGATTTTCGAATTAGCAAACTAAGATATTATGCTAATTTAATGCATTTGGCTCAATTGGGCTATGTACATTCAAATTTAAGAGCTCAAAGTAATACTCACACTATTTACAATCATTGTCACAGTAAAGAGTGTTTATGAAGACGCAAACCTTCATATTTAAATGTGTTTTTTTTACAACTTTTTCTTCAAGAGATATGGTTAGCGCCCTGCACACTGAAAACGTAACACATATATGCTGCTTTTGCTTATTTTAATAAGTTCAATTACATTTTTTTAAGTTATACAAAGTTTAAATTAATATTTTAGTCAGTTTGACTGATGTAAATTGAGATGACCAGAAAAGTTCGTTTAATTTTACTAAAAATATAAGAATTAGAGTGCAGAGTGGAAACACTAGAGGCGAGCTTTCTGAACAGCTTCCGGTTTGTAACTCTTTCCACACTAGTGGAAACACTAGAAATGGTGTCGCCTGACCACCAGCCCAACACAGCCGTCACTTTCACCTGAACTACAAACCGAAGGTAGTTAATTACACAAATATAATTCTACAAGCTGCTCATTTGAAATATTGTTAAATATAAATACTTATACTGAATGAATTCGAGGAGTAAACACACGAACTTGGGCTCTCACAAGATTAGCATTAGCTTGTTGTTGCTGTGTGCTTTTGGAGCTCTATTAAGTGACATAAACTACGTTAACTTTCACATTTTAAACCATATAACAGCGTTAATATGTATATTTAAGTGATATTTGAATGTTCACATTTATTTATATGTGAAGACATGCTATATAGCTATACAGAGCAACACAGTGTTGTTTACAGAGAGGACAAATTAAGTAAATGTCATATATTTATTCATATATTGATGCTTTATGATTCTTAAACGTATATTTTCCTCCTATTCCTGATTGTTTTGGTGTCTCTGCTTTTTTTGGCACTGTAGTGTTAGCAGTAGCCTGTTAGCTGTGTTTAGCACATGTTGTGAATAATAATATATATTACAATGCACTTGATAAAGTTATCTGCATTTCAGACACCACGGTATAAATAATGTGCATGCAGACTTATTCAGGAGCATTTAGAGCAGCCTGAGTTTAACAGATATTCAGGAAAGTGGTCATTCACATTAAGATCACATCAAGGACATTTCCCAGCATTTAAGCCACGCTTGCTTAAAATGATTTATAAGTGTTGTTTCTGTCTTAAAAGTGACATTTGTAAGAGTTTAATGTGTTTGCCAAGCTGTGGCATCTGTCCAGCTTGATAACACTGACCCCTCATCGCTGTTGGGACATGATCATGCAGTGTTTTGCTCTGATAATGTGAGGTTAATCCCTATTCGTTCAACTTGTTAAGAAGCCAGCAGATTATTTTATGACCCAGTCTTCTCTGTGACCTTCAGAAGCTCCTGTAGCGTCTTCCCCGACTAACACATGTGTTGTTTTATTTTTGGAGAAGTCTTACACATGGGTTGTGGCTGCATTCACTTAAGTAAGACCACTGAATTGATATTAATTTACAGGGATAGTTCACTAAGGTCAAGTTGGTTTTATATTCGCACATTCAGACTTTCTCCTTAATAATATAATTTCAGAAAAATATTATTTGGAAAATCTTATTCACAGACAGTGACTATTAACATTATTCACAGTTAATAAAATAGCACTATTGTTGTTTTGAAGTCATACTTAAATGCAATTTCAGACCGAATATACAAAGTAGTGTAATAAACAGTATAGGGACCGCTAAAATGAATGTGTGAATATAAAACCAACTTTATGAACACACACAAGAAGATATTTTGAAAAATGTTGGCATTTGTAACTCATTTACTTCCATAATGTTTTTTTTCCCTACTATGGAAACATTATAGGGGCCGTTAAAATGAATTAATGTGCAAATACAAAACCGACTTTACCTCAATTTATATATCACCACCCCAAAAAACTGAATTATTCCATCATTTACTCGCCCTTTAACTTTTTCAAAGCCTATTTGAGTTTATTTTTGTCTGTTAAACACACAAAAGAAGATATTTTGAAAAATGTTTGTTTCTTGGACTCATTTATCTCCATAATGTTTTTTTTTCTACTATGGAACAATATAGGGACCGTTAAAATTAATGAATGTGGGAATATAAAACCAACTTTACCTCAATTTATAGTTCACCAGCCCCAAAAAACAAAACGATTCCATCATTTACTGCTCTTAACTTATTTAAAACCTATTTGAGTTTCTTTTTGTCTGTTGAACACACACAAGAAGATATTTAAAAAAATGTTGGTTTCTGTTACTCATTTACTTCCATACTATGAAACAATACAGGGACAGTTAAAATGAATGAGTGTGTGAATATAAAACCAACTTTACCTCAATTTATAGTTCACCACTCCCAAAAAATAAATAAATAAATAAAATAAATAAATTATTCCATTTACTCGCTATTAACTTTTTCAAAACCTATTTGAGTGTATTTTTGCCACACACAAAAGAAGATATGTTGAAAAATGTTTGTTGCTTGGACTAATTTACTTCCTTATTGTTGTTTCCCCCTATGGGGTATATGCCGAAGCATGCTAATAGGACTTTTAATTTGCCAGTAACCTGAGTTAAGCGCTTCCGGCGAATGGAATGCCAATGCAAAATCCGGTGCGTTTAAGGTCTGTTTTCTTTTAAAAATCAGCGATCTCCACTAGCTGAGTGATATCCGATTTAAAGTGGGTCTCAGATTGTACAAGAAGCACTGCATTAAGTTCCATTTCCCCCCCGCCATATCTTGACAATATGAGCATTTATTTTACCCCAGTATATTCAATGGAGCTTCTGCGTTAGCCTGCCGATTCTGACGGGGGCGTGCGAGTAAACAGCTTTTTGTCTCGTTTTACACTTGAGCAACTAAATAAATGCTAAAGTTTATTTAACTGAAATTATTTTAATGACATTACAACATCGATGCTGTATAAGGAAGCATATAAAATGGCAAAAAGTTCACAATAACAGGTCACCGAAGTGTATCAGCATGGGAACAGCACTAGCTCGGCATATACCCTATTATGGAACAAAATAGGGACAGTTAAAATAAATGAATGTGTGAATATAAAACCAACATTACCTCAATTTATAGGTCACCATCCCAAAAAAAAACAAAAAAAAACGAAATTATTCCATCATTTACTCGCCCCTTAACTTTTTAAAAACCTATTTGAGTTTATTTTTCTCTGTTGAACACACACAAAAGAAGATATTTTGAAAAATGTTTGTTGCTTGGACTCATTTACTTCCATGTTTTTTCCCTACTATGGAACAATATAGGGACAGTTTAATGAATGACTTTGCGAATGCAAAACTAACTTTACCTCATTTTGTAGTTCACCTTCCCCAAAAAACTAAATTATTCCATCATTTACTCGCTGTTAACTTTTTAAAAACCCATTTGAGTAACTTTTGTGTCTATTGAATGCACACAAAAGAAGATATTTTGAAAAATGCTGGTTTCTGTAACTCATTTACTTCCATGATGTTTTTTTTTTCCTACTATGGAACAATATATGGATCGTTAAAATAAATGAATGAATGAATGAATGAATGTGCAAATACAAAACCAACTTTACCTCATTTTATAGTTCACCACCCCAAAAAATTAAATTATTCCATCATTTACTCGCTCCTTAACTTTTAAAAACCTATTTGAGTAACTTTTGTGTCTGTTAAACACACACAAAAGAAGATATTTTGAAAAATGTTAGTTTCTGGGACTCATTTACTTCCATAATGTTGTTTTCCTACTATGGAACAATATAGGGACTGTTAAAATGAATACCAGCACGTCATAAATTTAGGCTGACCAGATTTAGTAAAAACATGCTGAATCAGAATAAAAAATCTAGTCTGATGCCCTCCTGCCCTCGTTCTGTCTGGCTTGCTTGATCTTTGGTTAGGTAACGAGTCTTATCTCAGCAGATAATGACGCAAAATGGTTTCAAAAGATTAGACCTACCTGCAACCACTGGCCGATAAACGCCTGCATAAAGCTCTTCAAGATGCATTCGTTGACTTTGTATTTTTTTGTTCTTTCTCTTTTACAAGTTGCAATGCTGTTGATGGGTGTTCACCCGGATCACTTCTGCTGACCAGTCCAATGGGGGTGGTTACTACTATGGACTCGGATTCCGCCCGGCAACCACAGGGCAAACTGGGTGGCCATGCTCTAATAGGGGCCAATCTGGGCGCTCGAGGAAAGCACTACGTGTGCGGCTCATTGGCCGCGTTCACTAACATCATCGTCACCTTCCCTATTCAGAAAGTCTTGTTCCGGCAGCAGCTTCATGGGGTGCGAGCGACTGAAGCCGTGGGTCAGTTGCAAAGGGAAGGGTTGAGGCATCTGTACCGAGGGCTTCTTCCTCCCCTGCTGCAGAAAACCACCACCGTGGCCATCATGTTCGGCCTTTATGAGGATTTTTCCCGGTTGCTCTTGCGACATGCGCGTAGCAGCGGTGCACCTGAGCTTGTTACGCGTAGCGCTGCCGCGGCGCTAGCCGGCACAGCTGAAGCCGCGCTTACGCCATTTGAGCGAGTGCAAACGCTTCTTCAGGACCACCGGCACAACGGGCGTTTCAATAACACCGCTCATACCTTTCGGACTCTCCTGCGGGATTACGGAGTGAGGGAGTGCTACCGTGGGCTGGTCCCGGTTTTGTTGAGGAATGGGCCCAGTAATGTTTTGTTTTTCGGGCTGAGGGGGCCTATTAAGCAGTGGCTGCCTGATGCCCGAAGCCGAATGGGTAACATGGCTAATGACTTTGTGTGTGGTGGGCTGCTGGGGGCGGCGCTCGGCATCATGTTCTACCCGCTGAATGTGGTCAAATCTCGAGCTCAGGCTCAAGTCGGAGGCAAGTTTGTGCCCTGCCACACGATCCTGATGACGGTGTGGCGGGAACGAGGCGGCAGCATCGTGCTGCTCTTCCGCGGCGCAACACTCAACTATCACAGATCTCTGCTGTCATGGGGCATCATCAATGCAACTTATGAGCTTCTCCTGAAGGTTTTCTGAAGATAATGGGCAACGGAGGGCACTTTTTCTAAATCAAGCCAAATTTGAGAGTGTTTTCCCTCTTTAAAAGAGGTCCGGACACTGCCGTCTGCTCTAGTGCACTTAAATGGAGATTCACCTACACTATAATAAAATACTTGTTCATTAACAGTTTCTGTATTTTGTGATTCGCAAGTGTTTGCTTGCGGTGGTGAATTGCATTATGGGAATTATTATTATCGACTTTTGATGTTGAAATTTCAACTCTACAGTTTACAGTTTGTTACTTTTATTGACATTCGATGCCATTAAATATAGCGTATAAGAAATAATAGAGAAATGAGTCTGTAAATTAAGAGGAGAAATACTTGCAGTTAAGTACAAGGTCTTTGTAGTGTAATATACAACACCAACCCAGATAATATATCACTTTATACAACAGTTCTGTCTGGTTCTCGAATCTGATTGGCTGATAGCTGTGATATATTTATGTAATATCAGCACCCGTACAGCCTCTTTACCCTTTGTGTATTACTCCGCCCACATACAGCCAGCAAAAAGCAGACACTACAGATCTAAAGTGTAAAAGATGCTTGCTCAGCTGTTTAACTGTCAGCTTATGATTTCAATCCAAGGCGGAAGAAAGTAGTTCCTCATAGAAAAGGGTTTTTGAGACTCTCCATGTTTGATTTTGTTTTTATATACACAATTATGCCGTCAAACTGTTGTATAAACGCAATATTACACTCGTAGCAGTGCGATATTGCTGTATATCGGCACTGGTGGGGGCACTAAGGTCTCCGGCCAACGCACGCCTCCCACCAGTGCCGACATACAGCCATATTGCACTGCTACTCGTGTGATATTGCTCATTTAAATTACTATAAATGGTAATAAAAGTCACTTTTTCAAACTTTCTATGGTTAAAACGTTGTTGGTAGAAAGATTAAAGTTCCATAATGCAATGCAAAAGCATAAATAAATGAGGAAAATAAAAACATAAATCACAAAATAAGGAAAACTGCTAATTTAATGATATTTTTTAAAGTGTAGGAATGAAAATCCTGCCATCATTTCCTCACCCTCATGGCTTTCTGAACTTTCAGCAAACTGTTCGGTAACCAAACAGCCTGGTCTTCCAAGTATGGAGAAACTTGCAGTGAAAGTGCAATGAAAACAGTGTTGTTCTTCAGAAAAGGAGTGGGATGTATATCACTGGAATGACGTGAAGCTGAGTAAATGATGACGGATTGTCAATCTCGCGGGATGTTTCCATTAACAACAGCACTTAAAGATTTGTATAACCATGGATGGACACCATCCTACACTGATGCCTACATATAAATCCACCCATATTTCTCAAGTGTTTGTGAAACGCCTCATTTTGTGGCTTTCTTGTCAGTTTTGTAGTGGCTCTTTTACTCAGTTTTTTTTTTTTTTTTTTGTGGAGGTCTGTGGGACACGTATGGAGAAAGCACATTGTTGCACTACTTGCAGTACATTTCAGTACATCCTCTATCTTTCTGATGCACAATCTCTGGAATGGAGCATTACAAGCCATGCGTATTAGTAAGTGTTACATGAAGGTTGATCAGCCATTCGTACAGTAAATGGGTGTGACTTGTGGACCACACAAGAGAGAGAGAGAGAGAGAGATGTCTGTACAAGCCCATGATGTTAGCTTTGTGAATGCCAATCAGAAAAAAAAAAACATTCAGGAGTATTCAAAGATGTGATGATTTTCATCCAATGAAATTTTTATGTAATGACCGTTTTGTGACATGAATGACATTTTCACATCGTTGTAGGTGGAAAGTAAACGAGTAATTCTTCTACATGCCTTCTGGGTGTCGTTTTTGATTAGTTTGTGATGTTTGAAAGTCAACCTAAGGATCTAAATTGACTTTATTATACATTTTTACAGTAAACAAGTGGTGCATGTTATTTATAGTCTACTGTACTCTTCAGAGATCATGTTTCATTCATTGGACATAATTTCCCAATAGATAAAATCAAGTTTTTTCTCTTTTCACAGCTTTTTGTTGCTTGTTGGTATTAGTCTATTGTGATATTAATCTGTGTAAAAGATAATAGCTATTTCTTTTCAGCTCCTTTAACCTCTTAAGGCCTTAGGTGTTTTTTTACATGCATTTCTCTTTGCTATTTCGGCTTATTGGAACCTAATTAGAATTAAAATCTAAGTATCATCTTTTGATATAATGTACTTTTAGAGAAAAATGATGTCCATATATGTGGACTCGTGGTCCCAATTTACATAAAACACTTTTTCCTGAATGTTTGCTATGCATATTTAACATAGATGTTTTTTTTCTTTTTACTTGTTTTGACTTTTAAAGAGTAGAACCAACATTTTTTCCCCATTTTGGACAATTAAAAATAGGGTTTGGGACTTTTCATATGCTCCAAAACAGTTGCAGGATGACTCTGTATGTCTGTAACAAAATATAAAACATTCAGAGTCTTTTAAATAACCACTTAAGAGCTAAAAATGTGCTGTCCATGTATGTGGCCACTCGGGAAGGATGAGACAATTTAATGCAATTTAAAAAGGTAGAATTATTTTATTTTTAAAGTGCCCTTTTTCTTTTCAAATTCAAATTGGTGCCACATACAGTACATCCTTCACAGTGACAGCAAGACAACAATGCATTAAAATTGACCGAAAATAAACAAGAAGATGGAGACAGGTATACATTTAGTTGAGGTCTAAACAGCGTAATTAAAAGTGACTGTCCAGTACTTATTTTTTGAATGTTGAAATTCTGCTGGTTGGCACATGTGCCGAATTTCCATGCCAATCTTAAGCCACTCGTAATTGTTTGTTTTTGTTTTTTTTTGGTTAAATTTTAGAATCTCCACAACCCTCGCAGAGCTCGGGCGATCAGGATAAGCGCTCCTACTTGGCCCGACCCTGATCCGACTGTCCAGTATTTGCTTTTTTGTTATTTTGACATGAATATTTGGCATGAGTATAACTAGGATGTGTTATGCCCAGCGGCGTAGCTAGTGGGGGGAAAAGGGGGACAGAGTGCATAGGGTCCTGGCAATTTAGGAGCCTTGCGACAAGAAGCCCTCCAGCCACTAATAGGTAAGGGCGATCATACGCAAAAAGACCCCAGCCTATACGGCTAGATGTGTTCTTTCCCTTATTTATTTATTTGTTTGGCGCAGGTACTCGTGTCCGATCGGAAAACTGTGTCCGCACTCCACCTTTCCTTTCACGAAGCCCTAGCTGGCCCTTTTTGGCCCAAGGTATTCAGTAGGCCAAAAAAGGTTGGCCGCTGGCCCCAAGAAAGCCCCGCTTTGGCCCGATTAGGCCCCGGAAGTGACAGTGGAAACACGACTGGCTTTGGCTCGCCCAGGCTCGCTCGCTTTAGGCGCGATAGTGGAAACGTGGCTAATGACTAGACGGGCCCACTAAAAGTTTTTGTGCGTAGGGCCCAAAAAATGTGCCGACGCCTCTGGTTATGCCTATTAGTTTCGATGCTTAGCTTAGCAACAAGCTAATACTGTGCACTTGATTTTTTACAATATATTACTATTGACTATATTCTTCACGTACTGTATGAGCGGGTGCAGACAGTTGAATCTTTTTGGCTCAAGACTTCTGGTCTCATTCACTTGCATTCACTTCTTGACGTTAAAATAGTTTGGCCATGTTCTGCCGTTTATTATTAGCCATTTCTCCCATAGGCAACTGAATCGGAAGTTCTGAAACGATCGCAAGAACAAGCGCACTTCAGACTAAGGTTAACAGTTCAAAGCAGTTTAAAAGACTAGAATACTGTACTGTGATCATGGAAATACCAGCCTTATAGTACTTGATTTTGGACGTCTCTCTTTCTGCTCGAATGATTGCATGATTCTATATTTGTGTGGTTTAAGAAGTTACATGACGAGTTTCTTATTAGGTTCATATCTGCCTTAGTTGCAAGGAAGTATACTACGTTTTGGAGCAGTTTTATTAAAGCTTGATACTAGGGCTTCACAATAAATTGATTCAGCATCGATTACGCAATGTCCAAATCCTACAGTGTCAATGTGATCATGTCATTGGCCCATGAACATTTCCTGTGTGTTATCAAACTATTTCATAACTGTAACAAGAGACAATTCAATCATAACTTGAGCTGTCATAACATTATTTATCAATATGTGGCTCTTTTTGGATTCTCGTAAGCTATAGAAATTAAAAATGTAAGAAAATACATTGGGACCATTGTTTTTGTTTACAGCGCTCTAAATGATCTGTAGTCACATTGCAGGATCATTCATCCATTAGGAAATTTGAGTCACATTGTGGAGTCATTGTGAAGTTTAACCTTAATAGAAAGTGTTTCATTTGCTTGTTTGCTTCCTTTTTAAAGGTCCAGTGAAATTAAGGCTTTTTAGATGTCATTATCAGTATGTTAGTCTTCATATTAGTGTATGAGAATGGTGCAGTGGGTAACAATGACACCTCACAGCAAGAAGGTTGCTGGTTTGAGCCTCGGCTGGGTCAGTTGGCATTTCTGTAAGCTAGCGTGGTACAAAACAATGACAAAATTCGTGTTTTGAAGATATAAAACCAATATATGTAGCTTGTAACTTCCGCCTTCATGGATCAATAGTTAAATTAAGTTGTTTTTTTTTTTTTTACATCGCTTCATACTTCATCATACGTCAAATCTTCTGACCAATCAAATGCTCTCTAGTATTTGACATACCCCGCCCCCTTCAAGACGCTTGCTTTTCATTTGATGCGCTTGAGCTTAACCATTCTCACTGGCAGAGCTGGGAGAGAAATGCTATTGGCTGTTTTTTAATAAAGGGGAGGTGCTACTATATGTGCCGCCCTCTCTTTGTGTTTCAATTGAGATTAAGTCAAATATTGAATAAAAAAGCACATTTCAGCGACGTCACGGGACCGTAAGGCCTATGCCTGAGAGATTTCAAGTGTATTTAAACTATTAGTGTATGAGAATGGTGCAGTGGGTAACAATGACACCTCACAGCAAGAAGGTTGCTGGTTTGAGCCTCGGCTGGGTCAGTTGGCATTTCTGTAAGAGTCTGCATGTTCTCCCTGTGTTGGCGTGTGTTTCCTCTGGGTGCTCTGGTTTCCTCTACAAGTCCAAAGACATGTGCTATAGGTGAATTGGGTATGCTAAAAT